TGACCTTTTAATGTCGGCTGATGAAGGCATGTGCTCAGTCCTGGTACTCCTGGACCTTAGCGCTGCTTTTGACACCATTGATCACAACACTATGTTAGACAGACTGAGGCACTGGCTGGGGATCTCTGGTACTGCCCTAGAATGGTTTTCATCCTACCTGTCAAATAGGAAGTTTTGCGTGTCTGTAAACAACTATGTCTCTTCGTTCTGTCCAGTTAAATATGGTGTGCCTCAGGGGTTGGTCTTAGGACCCATTTTGTTTTCCTTGTATCTGCTTCCCCTTGGACATATTATCCATAAACATGGAATTTCTTTTCATATTTATGCTGATGACACACAAATATACTTGCCCGTCAGATCCACAGACCCTGGAATGCTGAGTTCACTTAACAACTGCCTTTGTGAAGTTAAAAAATGGATGTCAAATAATTTCCTCCAGCTGAACTCAGACAAAACAGAAATCCTGGTCATCGGGTCTCAGCAGATGACAAAACAAATACTGCCATCTGCTGGTTCCCTAGTAAATCACATTAAGCCTGTGGCAAAGAACCTTGGTGTTTGGTTTGATAGAAATTTAAATTTCGAACAGCACACCACAAAACTTGTTCAATCATGTTTTTATCAACTTAGAAATATAGTAAAAATTCGATCTATGTTAACTTTTAAGGACACCGAGACCATTTTACACGCCTTCATCTCATCACGCCTGGATTATTGCAACAGCCTTTTCACTTGTTTAACCCAAAAATCTATTGATCAACTCCAGACTGTCCAGAACTCAGCTGCCAGGCTTTTAACCAGAACAAAGAAATATCATCAGCATCAACATCACCCCTATTTTAGCTTCATTACACTGGCTCCCAGTATGTTTTAGAATTGAATAGAAAATTCTATTGATCACTTTTAAAGCTCTTCATGGCCTCTCGCCTTGTTATATTTCTGAACTTTTAGTCCCATACACACCAGCACGTACCTTGAGATCCTCGGGCAGAGGTCTGTTGCCTGTTCCAGAGTCTCGACTGAAAACTAAAGGGGACAGAGCGTTTGCTGTCAGGGCCCCGAGGCTCTGGAACAGTCTGCCTGAGGAAATCAGGTCAGCTGAGTCAGTGAACTCTTAAGTCCCTTCTTAAAACACACTTTTATAGGAGAGCCTTTCCCGATCTTATTTGATTTTATCCCTTTTATTTTATTCTATTTTACTAATTTTATATTTATCTTAAATGTGTATTTTAGTCTTTTCAATGTTTTATTATTGTATTTACACTTGTAACTTGTTTTTGAAAAGTGCTCTACAAATAAAGATTATTATTATTTTAAAAACGTATATTTTTGTATGAATTTGGCTTGTTTGTCGCCATCTTGACCAGTTTTCAAAAGTTACGGCAGCCGCGCTGGTTTATGGTTAATAGGCAGCATCAAGGCATTACCATCGATGCTGCCTTCAAAACTGGCCGTTGCGGGGGCAGTTTGAAGGCGTCTTACGTGACAGGAAACGATCATTTGAGCCATTTCAAACAGCACCTGATGCCTTGCTGTCCTGTTAGACACCTTCTGAGACAGCAGTTTAGGCCCTGACCTGCAGCACGTCATTCCCATCAGGAATGGTGCGTTCAGTAGCGCAGTAACGCAGCGTTACTTGGAATAGTAACTGTAATAATATAACTGTTTTGGCAATAGTAAACCGTTATACTACTCTTTTCTGTGAAAAGTAATGTTATTACTGCCCAACATGTTACGTAACACTGATGCGCGAGTGTGAGTGGGGTACACACAAACATCCTTGTTGAAAGGCAAAAAAGGTCACACGTCAGCATACAGATGCCCTCAAATTCTCTCCATTTCACTCGGACAGATACTGTACACATCCCTGAATAATTAAATATACTGTGTTAAATGAGCAAAGCCCACATGGTGCAATCTTTGTTAGAGTTCAACAAAATGTGTGTAATGAGTGTAGTCACCATGTGCTGGCTGTTTGTTCCACCTCCTGCATGAGGTGATGGTGACGATGAGCTGATGGAGCAGAGCTTCTCCAGAGCTCTGAATGCTTTGTTTACTGTGTCAAACTGAAAAGCAGCAGACAATCTACAGACAGAGCAGAGGAGACGCTCATCATCCTGTCAGGACACCACAAACAGCTGGCCCAGACACATTTTATACCATGTTTCAGAAAACAATCCTACATTTAGTTTCTCAAACGTCCTCTTACATGTGTAGCTGGGTGCTAAATTTAACATTTTTCACAGATGGTTCAACAAGCTCAGTGTTGAATTACTTCATACATTTGGAGTTTATTGTCAATGTAATTTATCTGCAGTAAATTCCTCTTAAATAATATGTTAAGAAGATGGGGCCGGACAATATGGCCAAAAATGTTATCACTATAAGAAGTTTCATATCTTTTGATATAGATAATAATCATGATAAGTATCAAATCGTTATTTCTTTCAAGTTTAAAGGCTGATTTTTTTTCTCTCCTGAGTAAAAGTTGAAGAACCCTGATATTCAATTGTGGTTTAAACTCTTCTTTATGGTCAGAACAATCACTTAAGGCCAAACAGTGGATCACTTCACAAATCTGAGGCAGAACATTCAAAACAATTATGATAAAATCTTTGTCAACAAATACGCACAAGTACAATTAAGTAAAAGCTTTTTTCAGTCCTGTTTCCTCAACAAAATAAACATCTTAACAAAATTAAGTCCTAATTTGTGTATAATTCAAGTGAATATTGTATATTGTTATTGAAATAAATTATATACTGACAATTGTTTTATTGTCAAGCTCTATAAGAAGAATACAGCTTTATTAATACCTCTAGTTTTTAAACTGTTATAATAATACACATTTTACACATGCATTAACACATGGAGAGATGTCAGAGTGAGGGGGCTGCCACCTAGTCACCCCACCTCAGCAGTTAGGGGTTCACGGCCTTGCTCGAGTGCACTTTCTGCAGAGCCCAGTAGATGAACTGGCACCTCTCCAGCTACCAGTCCAAACTGCAAATGACTGGTCTGTGGCGTTCTCGAACCAGCAACCCGCCAGTTCCCAATCCAAGCCCCCACGGACTGAGCTACTGCTGAAATGAGTGGATACAAGACATCTGGTTAAAAAGGACAAATATCTAGATATCCAACAATCAAGTAACTGGTTGATTTTATGTAGCTATATTTAGCTGTCCGTGGTCCCAGTTGCACAGCAAGATATTGTTAGCAGAGCCTGTCTTTATGACTCATGTTTGCATTTATTGTGGCAAACACATGACAAAGGCGGTTAGTATTATAGATAGCAATAAAGTTGTACTCCGGTGGTGTTGGGTCCATGGATAGCAAGTTTGCAGCTTTTCACCTGGGAGACCAAGATTGATTTGTGTTTTTTTTTAAATGTAAGTACTGTTAGGTAGCTAACCATGTTGGCTGTTAGGGCGCCACCATGTTGAGTTTCATGTTGACCATATTTGGACGAGACAGTGGAGCTAACTAGCTTGCTTAGCTAGGTGCATCTGTAATTCACGTTAACTGTCATTTTAACAGGGCTGAATTTTGTCTAGCGAACAACAGTCTTAAAACGAAATGTACTCAGAAAGTGAAGGGGTACGAGTCACTGTAGCCTGATGAGCCATGGTAACGACTTGTGAATAGATAGCCCGGCTCTAAAGCCTCACCTGCTTTCTGGTCTATGTTCCTCTAAACGGGACCATAATTTACTAAATGAACATCATGCTGTGTTGAAGAAGACTTGAAACTAACGACTGAGACCATAAACTCATTAGGAAAGTGTTTACTGAGGGAATAAATCAGCTGAGAAGTAGTCTCATTTTACCATTATTTCTAATGGAACCGGACTTTTTCTTGCAGCCAGAAGAGTCGCCCCCTTCTGGCCGTTCAATAGAATGTAGGTTTAAGGGACTTCCGCATTGGCTTTGCGTGTCTGACCGGAAGTTTCCCGCTTGGTTAAAACAACCTATGTTGTCGTTTACTTTAGAGGACTTGTGTTGTGCATGTGAAAACCTCAGCTATAAACAAACAGGACTATAAACCAAGAGGATGTTGTTCATGTCTAACTTGAAACCAAAAGTAAATGTTGAGTCATTTTACTTTATGTTCCTAGGTACCTCGCATACGTGCTATATAGCTATGTTACGGAATTACACTTATTTTAACGCAAACCAGGTAGTTTTCTCTTCTTCTCAGGCGATGAAGAGGGCTGTGGGATCTCACAATGTGGAGGTTTTTGTTTACCCCCTTCTTCTACCCCTTTCACCACCTCAGTACAACAGAGGTGGATTACTATTTTGAATAGTATGAGGTCAGGGCACAGTTTCCCTCTAGGTCCACCTGTAGCGTTGTTGCAGACCAAGACGTTTAATTTAGCTTTGTGATTTAGATGAAAATAAAACAAAACTTTAGAAGCATGTATTCTGTTCCTGTTTCTGTTATAAGTAAATACCTTCCATTGTCAGCAGCCTCACTGTGTGATCAGATAGCAGCCTCACAACCTGGAAACATCAGCCAGTTTGTTGACGCCATACAGCCGCCTGACGCTAAGAGGATGAATGAGACTTAATGAGATAGACAGGAAAAATAAGATCAAGATAAGATGACGAAAAAATGGAAATATTTGATGGTGTTGGTCTTCTGGTGGAACAATGATGCAGAGGCTGGGAACACGAAACCTGAAACCCATTCACACTGAAACTTTACTGTATGTCTAGATTACAATGAGTGCTGAGTTAGCGTGACAGCAACATTAACTCTGATATCAGGCTTCTGGACGCTGCAGTGTTACTCTTCGGGAAAGTGAGCTTGCACAGAGATTTTACATGAGAATACAAACTGAAAAAAATATCACTTGTGAATGTAGCAAGACGAGGGTGTGATTCTATTTAAATACGTAATAATAACTTAAGTTGCCAACAACGCCACCTAGGGAATTTCGCCCCAGGAAATATTGATAGGTCACACAGGTTCGTATGAAATAAGGCCAGGGCAGAGTGTTTCACATTTAAACAGATAATTTTATTAAGTACTAATTAGAAACAACCAAACCAAAAGTAACTTAAAAAAAAGAAACCATACCAACTACATATACTGATTAAGAAGGCATGCCATTACTGAATAAAATTATAAAATAATAAGTTAAGCCTAAGTTAATATACTATTTAAAATACACAGTGGCTAAAAGGATAAAGCAAAACACACCAAAATGAATCAAAACGTGCAAATCATTTAATTCAAACCAACCAAAATTGAAAACACACACACACACACACACACACACACACACACACACACACACACACACACACACACACACACACACACACACACACCAACTGTATAAACTAAATATACAATAACTAGACCCGACCAACAAAAAGAAGCGGCAGCCCGCTTAGAGCTAAGACACAGCCGGAACTGGGCCGACCAGGCCAAGGGCAAACCCACAGGGGGAGAGAGAGCGACACCCAAAGCCAAGGCACGAAAAAAAACAGACCGAACCGCCGTTCAAACCCCCGCCGAGGCAGCAGTGCAGCAGATCACTGAAGGGAAGATTTAGCATGATTATATTATATTTCACATGGTATATATTCAATCAAATGGAATACAATACGAGACATGCATACATACCCCCACGGTTCCCCAGCGCACACACGTAATCAGCCACAGGCCAGATCGAGACAGCCCGCACAGCAATGATTCGCTCTAAAACAATCAAGGGAGCATTGTGTTTAACCGCGATACACTACCTGCACACAGCAGACCGTTCCATCAGCATGCCAGCAGACAGCACACTTACCACACGGACCGAGAGCAATGTCGCGTGCATACAGGACGCCGCCTGGTGACGCTGCAGGTTTAGGGGTATTAACCACCGGCTAAACTGTTGCGCTGCAGGCCATAACAGCTGTGACAGCATTCGCATCAGCACACCACAACGCCGGATCACCGTCACCAACAGCCAAAACGCCCAGTCGAGGTAAGAAAGAAACTGACACAGGTGCATCACCACCTGTACTTATAGGCCACGGCAGTGGCATCCGGTTGTCAAGGCACCAGCGCAGTGCCATATAGTGGCAGGAGGGAGAAAAACTCTCAACCTGCCACATAAAGAATTTGCTTTCAAGCCATAGAGAGCCTAAGCCCCTCCCCTTCCTGTGAGAAAATATGTATGGTGGTCAAAGGAGACAGCTAATGTTGAGATACTGTTTGAATTGAGATACTGTTTGAATTGTGCAAGTATTTGTAAAAAATAAATGTTGTTACCTCTACTTGTTCCGACTACTGAGCACTTCTGACTACTCCACAGTAGTAGTGTGTCAACACATTAAAACCATTTAAGCACGGACGATCGATTTTCGCCTCAAAATGCAAATGGGAAATCCGTGGATGATCAGATTATTTGTCACCCTATGCATACCACACACCTCCGTGAAGGCAGGAGGCTCAGCTAGCGTCTCAAACTGACCATTTTTATGCACACCAAACACACATCAAACACCAAGCATCTAAATAAACTTATATCACAGCATAAATCGTTCTGTAATCACTGCACATGGCTGCTCAAGTTGCCTTCCACATACTGTATCTCTTCTCTCATCCCACACCGCCGTCCGACCACTCTAAAGAAAGCTGTGTATAGCTTATCACTCAACTCACAAAACTCGCAGTTATTAGCTGACTAATAATAACAACAAACGCAGCAATATACATTTACAGCTACAACCGCTGACTTCAGAGTACAAAAACAGCTGAATTATGTGTCAATAGAGACCATCGTCATTGGGCCGCCATCTTGGTGAGGTCAATGAGCTCTTAGGGCCTTTCTCATTTCCCAAATTTCTGCCTCCTCTACTCCTCGATCCTCGACTCCTCGCGGCGCATCTTAGTCCCTCCCACAGCTGCATCATCTGTCCACTGTTTGAGCTGTGATCTCTGTCAGATGAGTAGACCAGCTGTCAGCACTAAAGGCTACAGGTTCCAATAAACATTATAGCATCTGTTGAAAACTGTCAGATTACAGCATCCTAATCATTCACTAGGCTACACAGTACTACTTTTTCTGCGGTGCGCCTTTTGCCTGTAAACAGGAGATCAGTTTAGCCCTCAGTTTGATGAGATGAGCTTTCATTGTCCCTTTACAAAATGACAAAGTAACATTTATCTCATGTAGCCCCAATTACAGCTGTCATCACAGGACTCTACTGTTGGAATGACCTGTGCAGACTACATGGACACTATTATTAAAACATGAAACACAGCAGATCAGTGCTGAATGCTCTGGTTCATATTACAGCCTAATAATTTGACTTCAGCAGCTGAGTGCACTGTTTTGTCACGATTATAGCAGCTGATCGGCTCAGATATTAATATTGATGAATATTCACTGTTTATATCAATATTTCAATGTTTTGGAAGTTTATGTTATTTGGAACGTGATTGTATGGACATAGTGTTTTGAAGAAAACTCCCACTAGAAGTGAACATAAACAGCAAAACATGGAAATATGCCTGGTATATTTTCTCTCTCTCTCCAAACTTCGCATATACAGTGGATATAAAAAGTCTACACACCCCTGTTAAAATGCCAGGTCCTTGTTATGTAAAAGAATAAGACAAAGATAAATCATGTCAGAACTTTTTCTGCCTTTAATGTGACCTATAATGTGAACAATTCAATTGAAAAACTAACTGAAATCTTCGAGGGGGAAAATTTAAAATAAAAACCTTACAATAACCTGGTTGCATAAGTGTGCACAACCTCTTATAACTGGGGTTCACTAACAAGGACCATGTCAATGTTAGGTTTTGTAGTAGTTTATGTATGAATAGTTAATAAAAGAAGGGGTCGACGGGGAAGGGATGAAGGTTCTAGGGAGGGTGGATAGGAGAGGGTCGTGTTGTGCAACTGAGAAACCTGGAGGTTGAGACTCAGGGTGGGGACTCGTCTTTGTAAGGCTTGCTTGTTGAGCAGCTGATAGATCGTCCCCCCCAAAGTTTATTACACTAGGCTGTGATGGGCTCATTGGATGTCGCGGATTTTGTTGCTGATGTACAAAACTGAGGTATGCGTAGGGGGACCATCGGCCGAGGATCTTTATGGTGTGGTCCGGAATGCCTTGGCTGGAATGCGGAAAGGGTGACCAGAGTATAGCCTGATTCTGTGGTGAATAGGAGAGGCGTGGAACTGTAGTCTGTGGTTGAAGTAGTTTAGGATAGGTTCGAAGGGGCTTAGGTAGGAGTTTAAACGGAAAAGAAATATGGGATGAGAAAGGCCGAACTGGTCTGTTTTGCTCCTTTTGAGATTGAATCTGAGTGAGTCTGTTGAGTGGACGGAAATGTCGGATAAGCTTGCATGCAGGAAAGGGTTGTAGGCAGAGGAGGTGGTAGTGAATTCTGAGCACCTTAAGAAGCCGAAGAAAGGAAGGAGGAACATAGCCTCGAGGGTTGAGTCGGTTAAGGGAGATTCAGCGGGTGAGGGTCTGACGTCAAAGGCAGGCGTTTACAGGTGTTACGAGGTTCTGTTTTCCGCAAGCCTTTCATCAGCATGTGGATGTGGGGGTGAGCTCCTGAGAGGGGTTTAATGAAGAAGTTGATCCCACTAAGGTATATCCTAAGGTATAGGATAGTGGATGTACTGATCTTGAGTACCAAATGGGCCTGGGAGATGTAGCTGGTAAGGGATATGATGTCTATGGAGGGGAACTGCAGACCGCACAAGGTATGGAAAGTTTCGAAACTGCACCATCCTGAATAGTATGATGAGAGTTTTGGGGGCGAGACTGTTTACGATGGACTGTTGCGAAGCAGAGAAGTGGAGAAGCTGGGGATTCAGTTGAAGATTGTGGCTGAAAACTGAGGGACCAGCATTGGATGTGAGTCGGAGTTCGACGCCAAGCATTTGAATTCCTGCAATGAGAAACGAGAGAGAGTCAGCGATGGAGTTTTGTGTGCCTGGGACGTGGGCAGCACGGATGATGAATTGGTGCTGGGCTGATACCAAGGTTAATCTGCGGATGACCTTCATGATGTCGAGAGATTGGGAAAGCCCTTTGTTTATTATGTTGACTGTGGAGTGGTTATCAGAGTGTATCAGGATGACTTTTTGGGACCACTCCTGCCCGCAAAGAATGGCCGCAACCAGGATCGGGTACAGTTCGAAGAGGGCTGAAGAGGGAGAGAGAGAAAACATCTCCGGTGGACGGAGCAGCGTCCGTGTAGAGGTCGATGTCCTTGGGGTGGGTAATGTGGATGTTGTGAAAAATGAGATGCCATTCCACGATGACAGAAAATCCCTCCACTGTCTGAGCTCCATTTTGCAAGAGTCGTCAATGGTGACAAAGCCGTGAAGGGACGGCACCGCTGCAGATACCGAAAGCAGGTGGGAGAGGAAAGAACGACCCTGTGGAATGATGCGATTTGCAAAGTTGAGGTGACCGAGAAGTGAGAGGAGCTGGCGCTTTGTGCATCTGGTGGCGAGGAGGTAGATAGAAATTAACAGAGATATCCCACTGTTTTCTCCGGGGAAAGGGGGACTGATTTCAGTGCGGAGAGGCTGTGCGCTGGAGGAAAAGAGGAGGGCGTGACCTTGAGGAAGTCATCCAAGAGATGGATGACGTATTGGAGTCTGTAGTTATTGAGCAAGATCCAACATAAGGTTTCGGAAAGTGAGTCAAAGATCTTGCGGCTGTTTTTACACCCGAGAGTAAGACAGACGGCAAAGTAAAAAGAACCTTTCCAAGAGACCCCGAACAAATGCCAGAAATCGGGGTGTATGGGCAAGACCTTGAAAGCGCTGGTTATGTCAGCCTTGGCTAACCATGCACTGGGGCCAACAAGGCGAATAAGGTTGATGGCCTGAGCAATAGTAGCGTAGTGAATGGAAAAATCCTGGCTGGGTATAAGGCTATTAATGCATGGTGTGGAGGTACCGTGAGGGGGAAGATAAATTGATGATGAGTCTCTTCTTGCCAGAGTACTTGCGAGTCGCAGTACCGATCAGGCTAATCCGGTGAACGGAGGACGATCATGAAACCACCTGACACCTCCTTAGCTAGGAGATCATCCACAATGTCGGGTTCGGCCATTGCAGACTGGAGGTTACGGCAGGAGAAGTAATGGTCGGGAAAAACCTTGACGCCTGGATGGAAACCGCATCCAACCCGTGGATGAGGAAGTCGACAAAATGGTCGGTCGGGGTGGTTCGCCACTGCAAGATCGAGGGCGGGGATGTTAATGGGTGTCTTCAGGAACTGCCTCAGTCATGAATTGGACTTAGAGGGGTTATGACGGCAGCCAGGACGGGCATGTGCACCACCGCAGAAGGAACAAGTGTGGAGAAAACGGCAACCTGAAAGGAGACCACCCCGGTCGTTGAAGTTATTGCACACCATACGGCCACCCTGGAAAAGCACGGACCTGCCTCATTTATCCAAGCCGCTGGTCCGGTGGTTATCGAAAAGCTTAGGTATAAGGGGAGGAGGGGGAGCGTTGAACCTCGGAACGGGGGGTGGGAGAGACGGGCGGACAAGGAGCGGCGATGGCGCAGCCGGAAGCGATGGGGCAACGCACAGGGTAATAACAAGATAGGAGCGAGCCGCAAATACCCTGCAATAGAGCGAAAACTGATTACCTGCCCGGTATTGGCAGGTACACTCACCTAAAGGATTATTAGGAACACCATACTAATACTGTGTTTGACCCCCTTTCGCCTTCAGAACTGCCTTAATTCTACGTGGCATTGATCACAAGGTGCTGAAAGCATTCTTTAGAAATGTTGGCCCATATTGATAGGTTAGCATCTTGCAGTTGATGGAGATTTGTGGGATGCACATCCAGGGCACGAAGCTCCCGTTCCACCACATCCCAAAGATGCTCCATCTCTATCTCTCTATGAGATCTGGTGACTGTGGGGGCCATTTTAGTACAGTGAACTCATTGTCATGTTCAAGAAACCAATTTGAAATGATTGGAGCTTTGTGACATGGTGCATTATCCTGCTG